GGTCACCCGTGGGTGTTACCTGCGGGTGTGCGGGTCACCTGCGGGTACATTGTACGTCTACTCATTATCATGTAGCATCCGAGTCAATGAAATTCGCTAGTACAAGTGAACTAAAACATGCCGGAGTTAGTCACTATCGAGTTCTACGACATTATCTCGATCATGATCACTGCCAGCATCCTGTCGAGCTTTACCTTTTCCCTTCTTGCCTCTTTTCATGCTCTCGCTGAGGATTCGAGTAGCGATTTTGTCGTCCAAGAATGGGGTCTTGTACCACGAACTGATGGCCATCTGGGCCTTAAAGGCCTGTGAGCTGATGCCATGTTGAAGGTGATTGACCTGCAGACGACCGCAGGAAAATGCTCGTTCTGCATCCACAGAAGACGCTGATTTATGCCACAGTCAAAATGCATTGTTACAGTCATCCACATCACATACCTGGAGCAGACAGGAAGTCCAACGCCATTTGAGCTAGGCGGGGTCTCGTAGCGCGAGCATTCTCCCAATATTTAAGAACTCCGCCGATACCAATAATTTCAGGTCTCGAGACACGCGGAGAATTGATGTAGGATTCGAGTGAGTCCAATGATGGTGCATTGTGCAAAGACTCGTCATCGGAGTCGTTGATGTCATATTTTGATCGTTTTCTCTGCAAATTAGTAAGATCGATGAGCAAGCAAAATTTTCTCTGCTGCTGTACATACCGCTGGTGGACGACTCGACGACTGAGTTGATAAAAGGTCGGCAGCAGTTGGTGCATAAGTTTCCAACCAGCGTTGAGTTGCGATGCGCCGTGCTTCAATTTTATCTTTTTCATGCCAATCTCGGTTCTTGGTGAACCACTCCATTTTTTTATCAGGGCACATTACTAGTACACGCCGAGTTGTAGTAAGCCTTTACCAGAAAGGAACTAAATGATGTACTAATTGCAATGTGATAGACCTTGTTGTCATCTGTGAGTGCATAGTATTTCCCAATGACTTGCAGTGCTGCAAGTGCGGCGACTCAAACTATAGCAGATAGTTCAGTATCATGTGAAACTTTTACCATCATATGTTCGAGATGTTCGAGCATAGGAATGACCTCGTGCACAAGAGGCACCTCAGCCTGCGAGAAACGATTGGTCAAGTCATCAAAAATCTAAGCAACGAGTGCATTGGTGACGGGCAAAACTTTGGACATGACAAAGTAGTACCTCGAGCACAGGAATAAGCTGCTTTGTAAGCTTCCACTGCGTCACGGTGAGAGCATATATCTGCAAGCCATTGGCTTCCTGGCTAGTAAATAGCTTGATTTCCTTCTCGAATGACATATGAGTCTTCAGGCAAGCGAAATCCGAGTTCCAACGTGTTGGGACTCGTCGATCCAAAGTCTTTTTCTGGGACGGACCACCACCTTCGATTGTCACGATCCGTTCGAATGCAGCTTGAAGATTGGCACTGTCATGCAGTCTTTTGGCAAGACCCGCAACCTGTTGCATAAGGTTAGAACAATTTATTATGAAAAAAAGTATTCCCGCCTTTGGAAATAGCCCGAGTGCTTCACGTTGCTCGGCTGAAGTTATCAACAGTCCCATTTCCTTGCCAGTGTTGAGAGCATCCCGATGAACGGCTGAGACAACTTCCTTGTCATGGGCATCCTTGTCTGCATCAATCTCACCATCACCACTTTGCGGCTCCAACACGTCTGCAGCAAGATGTTCCTCATCAGCTGTTAGCTGCTCGACTTCGACTTCAGTGGTATCAGTCGTGGTTGCCGTCACACTTGATGCACCAGCAACAGCTGCTGGTCCACGCTTACGTGTGTGTTGACCCATTGCAATTATTTTCTTGCGTTTTGGCTGCCGGAAGAAGAAGGAGATAAATGCCTGCATTGGATGTTCAGCCCGCCAATGAGCAAAAAGGAGAAGAAACACATACTTTCGCTATGAGGTTCACTGTGTGTGGAAAGCAACGAGACCTGGACAACTTGCCACGGAACCCATCAATCAAGGTCACGAGGTGCTCTGCCGTCGCATCACAATTACTCGCATTGTCCATAGTAAGAGTATGTAGCTTTTTCTCTAATCCAAAGTGTTTCAGACAATCCGCTGTGACTCGTGCGAGGTATGATCCAGTGTGACTCTGTGTAAGCCTAACCACAACATATGAGAATCACGGTGCTACCAATTTGATTGAAAAACTCACCGGATGAACTCGATTATAGTACGGTAGATAATTCCCTGCGCCAACCAAACTACAACCAATCCCAAGTAAGCTGCAGCGAAAGGGGAAGTCCATCCATCGATCACAAGGTGGATGGAACCAACGTGTTTCTATACAGCATCGAAGAAATTCAGGACAGATCTTATTCAAAAAGGAAAGACGTACGGAAAAATGCACTTTGACTTGCTTCGATCCCTCGAGATAGATAGCGGACACGTCACGCGCAACAGTACGGGGGTTGGGGATAATAACTCCTGGTCGAAGGAGCTGGACTTCAGCAATGTAGTGTGGATCAGTGACAAAGTTGAATGGGCGCTTTGAAACTGCACAGCGCAAAGCAATTAGCGCACGGTGTGCAGCTTGTGTGTAAGATGACACTGAATTTTCGAGAGTTTGTTGTGCGCCAACAGAATCCAGGGTACCAGCCTGAACACCACGCCGTGTCTCGCACTTGTCTACCCCACGCTGAAGGTTTTTCGTCCCCTGTCCATTTTGCATGCGTTTTCGCTTGTGGCGATGGCTAGTTGGATCGACACGGCACGTAAATATGTAGAGAATGTAGTCGGGATTGCCATCCCCACGATGGTGGCGCTCCAACGAGACATCGTAATGATTGTAAACTTTTGACTTCCATCGTGTGCACGAGTGATCTGGATCATGATTGGATCAACAACTGCAAGACTGTAGGCTGAGCTTACGAATAATTTCAGCATCCGGTAGGTCCCAAACATCAATGTCTGTCTTCTCTTTGGAATCCGATTCACGAGGTTTGGTAGGGGAGAGTATAACTGGTGCTGGCGAATCTGTATTGCTTCGAGTTCGTGATCTGGTCCGTTTGGAAGGAGTTCGAGGTTCGGAGGGAGACATACCGCACACGAATTCACGAACTCTCGAGTCTCGGGTTTTGCTCTCTCATAGGTCGAAAGGTATTGAACTCGGGTGATTAGCCCGAAAATCTAGCCTATCACTGTTAGCAAATTTTCGGTAGACCCACATAGTTAGTACGAGGCTGAACTTCTGAAGATGCAGCCTGCAAGCTTCGGCAAGTACTTGTCAAAGTTGTCAAAGTTGCTATGTCATTTGATGTCGGCTACAACAGCACTTGATGTCAATGTACAGCGAGGTGACCAGGTACAAAGCTCAACACTGCCATACTACTAGTGACCAGCGGGCACCCGTGGGTAGCTTCGAAAGTTGGATGTCGATGACCGTACCCGCCCGGGTGCAGCACCCAAGCCAACCCGTAACCTGTAGCACCCAACCCGCACCCCACCCGTGGGTTCCACCCGGGCGGGTACCCGGGCAACCTCTACCCATGTCAGGCCCTATTCTTTCCTTTCCCCCCCACTGCCCCCTCATTAGATTATCTTCCATATTTTTCTTACAATTTTCGAGTTTTTGCCTCTCTTCTCTTCTTCTTGCTTCTCTATCCTTCTCTTGGTGTTGATGTTGTTGGTGCTGGTACTGGTGCTGGTGCTTTGAACTCTGGTAAGTCTCCCTCCATAATTTTCGCATTTTTGACTATTTGACTAATCTTTTTTCTAACCCTCTCCTTCTAGCTCTCTTCCCTCCTGCTCCTCCTCCCCCCAACTATTTTCGCATTTTTGACCATTTGGCAAGTCTTTTCTCTGACTCTCACTTCCTCCTGTCTGATCCTCTCCTTCTAGCTCCCTTCCCTCCTCTTCCCTCAAGAATTTTCGCAATTTTCACTATTTGGTAAGTCTTTCTTTTTTTTGTATTCATCTTTCCTCTCTGATTCTTCCTTCTAGTTCTCTTGCCTCTTCCTCCTGTAATTTTCGCATTTTTGCCTGTTTTGTAGTTATTAGTTTACATGTATTGTAGTAGTTGAAATATAATTTGGAATTTTCGCTTTTTTTTAATTTTGAGAACACTATCATGGCAACAAACAGCTATTAAGAGAAATTTTTGCTTTGTGTTTTGAGCTATAATAGCTACAATAGTTGTGGTATGTTCCACCCAGCTATAGCAACTTTAATAGAGCTATATAGCACTATACACTGGTGTAGTAAGCCTGCACAATTGGGCACTTGGCTATACGAGCTATAGGGCTATGGAGTCTGTATAGCAGTCTATAGCGCTATGGGTGGCTATATAGCCTTACCACATTTTCCTGATGCTGAGTATGAACATGTTGAATTTCTCATAGTATACATGGTCATATTTTGCTGCAGCAGAGTTATGTTCTTCTATAGTTCCCACGGCTACAAAATCAAGGACTCATCCGTTCACTGATGGAAGCACACTACATAATTGGACCGGTCAGCATTAAGCTTAGTACGAGGATGGCTGCTGTCGAGAGATGATGATCGAAAGGATGGCCTTATCCAGGTCAGACAGGACACCCCCTGAAGGATGTGTGGTGTGACTTCTGTCCACGATCAAATTAATACTAATGTCAGCAGTATGAGAAGCAACTACCACCACCATCCAAGCCCATATTAAATTTGAACCTTGGGATATTCAGAACGTTTCTTGCATTCGGATCCTCTTTAATATTGTCGTTGACTGGTTCACATCATCCACCATGACCACCACCATGACCATCCGTTGGTAGCAACTTGGTTTTCACCATCAGCATCCTGCGCAGGATGTATAATCATCGCCACCCGCTCTCATCACTTGCTGCGCTCATGGTAGCTCAGCGCTCAACCCTTACCTTTTGACGAATAAAACCGACCTTGCCCACTCATATTGTATCCAACACTCTATACTGTCATGATCATGATCATTCACTGTGTGTTGTTACATCTACTAAAAACGAAGGCCTACGCTGATGGCGCTCACCGACCAACCCCAGATATTGCATTCTACTGCAGCTTCAAGTTGGGCGTTGAATCTGCTTCACTCTCAAAATCTCCATATATCCATGACCACAACTGCTTCCTTCTCCCCAGGCTGCTCGGGCACCATGCACAGGTCACTACGATCCTACCTAATGTTGACAAGCCTCTGCCTTGCTAATTGCAAATGCACATCTGACAAACTCCACAGGAGGCAAGTTCTCCATTTCGTTACCACTCTCAGTGGCCGAGATTTGCTGTGTCAGAACCATCCGGACTAGTTTGGACTCTGAGTACTTCTCCCACATGGGAGACTTGTCCAGCTTATAAGTATTCGGATCGCCAGTGCGCACGAAGGAAAGCCAGTAAGCAATGAGTTCGGAAGCAAATGCTTTTTGGGCATTTGTCTGTGGGTCAAATGTGCTGGTGCCATTGGGACTAAAATGACATCTCTATCAGCCTGTGTGGCTATTTAGGATGGACTTTGTCTTACCCAGTGGTAGTGCCATTAAACATCATCCAGTTCTCAGCAGCATGTGTGACATATTTGGTATTCAACATTGGGTCAGGCATGTTGTACCAATAAGTCCAAGTATTTGAATAGTGAGGATGGGTTGCCCATGGCCTGGGGCTGATATTGGTATTGTTAGCATAACTCAAGGGACTACACAGTAGCGTGAGGCTTAGACTTACAGCGCATATCACATCAGGTTCGCCTGTGGCCACTTGGAACTGCTGAATCTTAGAATCGAAGTCATCTATTGGATATAACCACAAGAACTGCTGAATGTCTGTGTCTGTCAATGACGGGAAAAATGCCTTAAGTCCCGTAGAGATATCGAGGTTCGGCGATAAGGAAAGAGTCTCGTTGGATGCTGAGCTATCGATTTTTGTATCGGTGACAGCGCGGTACCAAAATGACTCGCCAACATACCCAACTATAAGCGGGACATGAGTGAACTCACCACACTGGAACTTTGTCGTAGGGTGTCCAGTAATCAGTAAGCCGTCCACGATGGGTATGTATCCACTGTATTCCATGCCACCACGTCAGCTGCGGAAAGCCTCGTATAGAGCAGACAGAACTCACAAGTCTCTATGGAGTGCATTATCCTGTGCAAATGCAAGTGTGCTAATGTTTGCACCGTGGAGGCATTTCATTTGATCTGCTACAGAACCATTTTCACATCCTGCAAGCAATGTATAGGATTCAAAGAGGGGCTGTTAATGGGCGTTAGATGGAGAGCTAATGCCAGTGGTATTTCACATACCTGCTGTTGCTTAGGGGTGGGAAGGGCCGACCTACTGACGCTCTGTGCAATAACATGAGAAAAAAGCCCTTTGCTCTTGTCGACAACCGTGTGTAGCTCCACAGAGGCCCCACTGGCACTGTGCCCGCTGATGGTGACATTGGTTGGGTCGCCCCCGAATTTACTGATGTATGACTTCACCCATTTGAGTGCCTGGATCTGGTCCCTGAGCCTGGCATTGAAGTCGCCGTATGCGGGGTTGGTGAACTCGGGAGCGGCCAGGAAGCCAAGAGAACCAGAATTCAAGGATTAGTCATGCAGGTCAAAAAAAGGAAGAAAGTGAACCGCCCCGATCGATCTCATCATGATCGTGCCTTGTTCATGGGGTTGCAGTTGAACGTATGAGCTATCCAAGGACCCTGGCTGCTCCCTATACTGTATGTCCACTGGTAGCGCCTCATACGTCCTTGAAATCACCCATCCTATGGTCCTAAATGTTGTGCCTCAGAAGCCTGTAGCACATACCCTATGTCCGTTGGTAGCGCCCCGAGAGGCTGTAGATCCGACGACAAAGCTCAAACAGGTGTCCAGTTTCCCTAAACAGGACTGGTTGACTACCAACTGACGACACATACTGCAGTCACTTTACCCTTGATACTAACAGCCAGCTGAGGGTGAAAATTCCCTGTTCCAAACAGGCCAGCTGATGTGGGCCCATCAATGTACTGTTCTGTTAAATACAGGTGGGCCCATAGTATGTGGTATAGGAAATAAGTGTACACTTTTCTATTGAATTTGGTAGATAGTGTGGTTGTTAGTATATGAAATATGTACCTGATACAAACAGGTGGGCCGGTCAAAGTGTGTTTGTGATAGCAACAGGTGGGCCTATGGTATGCGGTGTAGGGTGTAATAGATAAGCATAGATATTTCTATTGATTTTGGTTGATAGTGTATGGTAGGTAGTGTATGAAATATGTACCTGATACAAACAGGTGGGCCGGTCAAGGTGTGTTTGTGATACCAACAGGTGGGCCGAGTGGGTCAGGGATCTGATATATCAGATGGGCCGAGGATACTGGTCAGTCAATGGGGGTCAGTAGGTCAATTTGGTAGGTCAATGGGGGTCGGTCAATGGGGGTAGGTTAATGGGGGTCGGTAGGTCATTGGGTTGGTTGGTCAATGGGGGTTGGTTGGTCAATGGGGGTTGGTCAATGGGGGTTGGTCAATGGGGGTAGATTAATGGGGGTCAGTAGGTCATTGGGTCAGTCGGTCAATGGGGGTCGGCCGGTCAATGGGTTGGTAAATCAATGGGTCGGTCGGTCAATGGGTCAGTCGGTCACAAAAACATCAGTCGAGATATGACTGAAGTCAAAAACATTGGTCAAGATATGGCCGAAATTGAAAAAATTGACCGAGGTATGACTGAAACAGCCGAGGTATGACTGAAATCGAAAACATCAGTCAAGATATGGCTGAAATTGAAAACATCGGCCAAGACATGATTGAAATGGCCGAGATATGACTGAAGTCAAAAACATCGGTTGAGATATGGCTGAAATTGAACACATCAGCCGAGGCATGACTAAAACGGCCGAGGTATGACCAAAATCAAAAACATTGGTTGGGATATGACTGAAGTCAAAAACATCGGTCAAGATATGGCCGAAATCCAAAACATCGGCCAAGACATGATTGAAATGGCCAAGATATGACTGAAGTCAAAAACATCGGTCGGGATATGACTGAGCAAAATCCAAAACATCAGTCTAGATATGGCCAAGATTGGAAACATCGCCCAAGGCATGACTGAAATGGCCAAGATATGACAAAAATCAAAAACATCAGTCTAGATATGGCCAAGATTGAAAACATCGCCCAAGGCATGACTGAAATGGCCGAAGTATGACAAAAATCAAAAACATCAGTCGGGATATGACCGAAATCCAAAACATGGGCCGAGATATGACCAAAATCAAAAACATCGGTCACAATATGGCCGAGATTGGAAACATCGGCTGATGCATGACTGAAATGGCCGGGATATGACAAAAATCAAAAACATCAGTCTAGATATGGCCGGGATTGAAAACATCGCCCAAGGCATGACTGAAATGGCTGAAGTATGACAAAAATCAAAAACATCAGTCTAGATATGGCCGAGATTGAAAACATTGGCTTAGGCATGACTGAAACAACCCAAGTATGACAAAAATCCAAAACATCGGCCAAGATATGACTGAAGTCAAAAACATCGGTCAAGATATGGCTGAAATCCAAAACATCGGCCGAGACATGATTGAAATGGCTGAGATATGACTGAAGTCAAAAACATCGGTTGGGATATGACCAAAATCAAAAACATCGGTCGGGATATGACCAAAATCAAAAACATCGGTCTAGATATGGCCGAGATTAAAAACATCGGCCGAGGCATGACTGAAATGGCCGAGATATGACAAAAATCAAAAACATCGGCCAAGGTATGACTGAAATGGCCGAGATATGTCCGAAATCAAACACATCAGTCAAGATATGACTGAAATCGAAAACATCGGCCGAGATATGACCGAAGTCAAAAACATCGGTCAATACATGGCCGAAATCCAAAACATCGGCCGAGGCATGATTGAAACAGCCGAGATATGACCAAAATCAAAAAGATCGGTCAAGATATGGCCAAGATATGACTGAAATCCATTCCTAAGCTTATTTGGAGTGTATATATTATATAGCCAGCCCAGGACACACATAGGATCCTTCTACAGGAACAAAATGATAGAAAATCGCATTTTTGGCATTTTTGATGTTTTTCAGTATCTTACCCTTGCACATCTGATCAACCCTGTTCATATATCATGAGAATAGTATATATACCTCCTTTCATGATGAAGATCAGTTCAAAATAGGTTGTTGGTTTGAGATACTGCATATGCTTGCTATTTCTACTGATAAGAGATCAATACCTTCAAATCATCAAAATTTAATAATCAGAAACTTGGAGTACATTCACAATATATTCAGTATCATATGTATAAATTTACAGAACAATCCAACAAGAATTGAATGCTGAGGAAGTGAAATAGATAAGAAATTGAGTGTGAGAAAGCTCAAGGACCCAAAACATCGAAAATGGTCAGTTGAGCAATAGTAGGGCTTTAATGCTAGGTCAACACACATTTACACTACATCCCTTCCACTCACCCCCTACCCTCAGGGCAGTAGGTAGTATGGGTTCCTTAGGTAGTTTACAGTCTATCCTACATATTTTTAATGAAATCTTCAACTTGAATTATATATAAATGTGACTTTGTGCAGTTGCCTACCTGTTGCAAAAACCAAAAGACCACTCCGGGATCAATTTCAACTGATCATTTTGGACCCAGTTGCCTTCAAATGGGTAGTACTCATCTAGGCGAACACCTTGGTGGTCTAATCTTCAACAATGGTTCAGATCTGAGAAAGTTATGAGCCATAATTCAGATTTCAGTCACATCTCAGCCAGCCGATGTCTTGGATTTATTTAGCTTATATCTCGGTCAGATGATAACCGATTGACATAATAAGACTATGGATATGATCGCCTTTACTGGGGCTACAACTGTTGTTAACAATGTGAAGCATAAAAACAACTTTCGGCCAGCCAATATTTTGGATCTTGGTCATACTACTTAGATCTTGACCAATGTTTTTGACTTCAGTCATGTCTCGGCCGATGTTTTTGATTTTGGTCATATCCTGACCGATGTTTTTGACTTCAGTCATATCTCAGCCATTTCAATCATGTCTCGGCCGATGTTTTGGATTTTTGTCATACTTGGGCCATTTCAGTCATGCCTTGGCTGATGTTTTCAATCTCAGCCATATCTAGACCGATGTTTTTGATTTTTGTCATACTTCGGCCATTTCAGTCATGCCTTGGGCGATGTTTTCAATCTCGGCCATATCTAGACCGATGTTTTTGATTTTTGTCATACTTCAGCCATTTCAGTCATGCCTCGGGCAATGTTTTCAATCCCGGCCATATCTAGACCGATGTTTCTGATTTTTGTCATATCTCGGCCATTTCAGTCATGCCTCGGGCGATGTTTTCAATCCCGGCCATATCTAGACCGATGTTTTTGATTTCAGTCATATCCTGACCGATGTTTTTGATTTTTGTCATATCTCGGCCATTTCAGTCATGCCTCGGCCGATGTTTTCACTCTCGGCCATATCTAGACCGATGTTTTTGATTTCAGTCATATCCCAACCAATGTTTTTGATTTTTGTCATATCTTGGCCTTTTCAGTCATGCCTTGGCTGATGTTTTTGACTTCACCATTTCAATCACGTCTTGGCCGATGTTTTGGATTTTGGCCATATCTTTACCGATGTTTTTGACTTCAGTCATATCCCAGCCGATGTTTTGGATTTCAGTCATATCCCGACTGATGTTTTTCATTTTTGTCATTATCCATTGCCATCGGCCCATTTGATGGTATCAGCTCCCATCGGCCGACCTGATTGCATCAGCCACCACATTCTATTGGCCCATCTGATAGCATCAGGTATTCATTGCCATCGGCCCATTTGATGTTATCAGCTGCTATTGGCCGACCTGATTGCATCAGTCACCACATTCTATTGGCCCATCTGATAACATCAGGAATTTGTTGCCATCGGCCCATTTAATGGTATCAGCTCCTATCGGCCCACCTGATTACATCGGCCAACACATTCTCTCGGCCCACACGATAGTATCGGGAATTCATTGCCATCAGCTCATTTGATAGTATCAGCTCCTATCGTCCCACCTGATTGCATCAGCCAACACATGCTGTTGGCCGGGGGCCCATCTGATTGCATCAGGCATTCACTTCCATCAGCCCACATGATGGCATCAGATATTCATTTTCATTGGTCGGCCCATACGATGGCTTCACACCCATCATCGGCCGACTGGTACACACAGCTGCTATATTCCACATTGGCCCAGCTGATAACATCACACACTCCACCATTTTTCCCTGGCCATCGGCTGACAAGATAATATCAAGTATCACTACATATGGGCCCACCTGTTAAAATCGACTCCCATTGAGACCACCGGCCGAACGTTAGACATGGGAAATATTTTCGGTCAGCCAAGGTCCACTGGCCTGTTTGGAACAGGGAATTTCACCCTCGGCTGCCTGTTTTATACAGGGTATGTGACTGAATGGGCTCCTGATGAAGGGATTCACCATGTAGCTATGTTTACTGACATATGGTATACTTATGCAGAACATTTGGTAGCACTAGTTGTGGTAGTA